TTCTAATTTAAATAAATATATTTGTAATTTAAATTTTATATTAATAAGTTTTTTAAACATACATTTACTATGTTTTTATATATTTGACATAGATACCTTTTAAATATTCAGATAAAAATATTATTAAAATGTAATTGTGATATAATATTATGTAATATTATATTAAGTAAGCGAATATAATATACAAAATAAATGACAAAATTTGAAAATTGTTCTCGATATAATTTACCTATTTAAAAATACAATCTATTATTACCTACTGATCATTCTACCTATGTTTATTCTATGATAAAAAAACCAACCGCGCGAACACAGAGTACCGCACATGTTTTGTTTGAAATAGCTGTTCTAGTACGTAAGTACATTTATTACTTCAATGGTATTTTTAATTGTATCTCGATTTTCGTGTCAGTTACAAAAACAAGTATATAATAAATATTACAAATATTGCTGTTCTATAGTGTCAAAATGTAAAGCGGTTCTTGCAAATATTTACTCCGTAAGACAAATGAAATGAAACGCCGTCGCGCATGAATTGATTGGATATTTATTTTAATTATCTATTTAGCACCAACAATAATCATATAGTAATTATATTATATCGCTCGCAACACCGGGCGCACGAGGATATTTTAATTGCGAAATCTATTTAATTTTTTTTGATGGGATCATGGGACTCGGACGGATCATAAAATCCATTCTTATTGAGCACCTTCATTGCGAAATGAGTATACAATGTCGCCCATCGGCAAGTGACCGCCCGGGATATTCTGCATGTACATGAAAAATTATCGGTAAAAAACCTAAAAAGGGGGGGTCTATCTTAAATACTTTTTAAGTTATTGAATTTTTAATTTTTTGAATGATGTTGGTCACCTTGTTCCACACTTTTTGCTCTAGCTCCAATGCTACGGGCACGATTTCGATTCTGTTTTCTTATTTCATCAGGTTAATAAGTTGTTTTGTTGGATTACGTAACATTTTTAGTTAAAATAAGGCGAATCATAAAAATAAACGTAGACAAAGACATTTTTTCTAAGCAAAAAAGTGATATTTATTTACAAAAACACGTGTAAGTACATAAAATGCCCCCTTAACATGGGCTTTTTTACTCATTATTAATAATCTAGAGCATAACTACTACACATTTACAATACACTATCAATATCTATCTCTTAAAATTTTTTAATAACAGCGTGTCAAAAACGGGTCCCTCCTTGCTGTGCATCATCGTCATCCAGGTAGAGAGCGGTTCCTAGAAACCGGTAGATAGATAACGCACGTGCGCACCCTTTAAATAATTGATGCGGACGACATGGCGACATAGAGTTAAAACTATTAATGCAGAAATGCCTATTTATAATAAAAATAACAGGCATGATTAAAAAAAAACAACAATTTTAATTAATTAAGTTTTCAAAATGGCCCCCACCCTCCTGTAAGCAAATAAAAGCCCTCGTGGCTACACTATTGGTTGTTCGCAGTAATTCTGCAGGATTTTCTTTAATTTCCTCTGCGGCAGCAAAAATCCTAGCCGTTAATTGTTCGCGGCTTTCAATGCGCGCGGCATACACCTTCTGTTTCATGAATCCCCATAAATAAAAATCTAAGGGTGTCAGGTCGGGCGATCTCGGCGGCCAAGCAACGGAGCCTCCTCGACCGATCCATCGCGGATAATTTTCATTCAGATAATTTCGCACTAGTCGTGCGAAATGTGCTGGGGCTCCGTCTAGTTGCAGATGCATTCTTCTTCTCGTTGCCAGCGGCACTTCATCCAAAAGTGAGGGCAACGTATTTTGGAGAAAATCTAAATATGCGTGTTGATCTAGCCTGTGAGGCAATACGTAAGGGCCAATGAGCATATTGTCAATTATTCCAGCCCATACATTAACAGAAAATTCTTTCTGAAAAGATGTTTTTCTTCTGACGTGTGGGTTTTCAGCGGCCCAGACATGAAGATTTCGGTGGTTTGTAATACCCGCCCTTGTGAATGTACTCTCGTCCGTCCACAAAATCTTCTTTAGAAACTCAGGATTGGTTCTTTGTTGCGATAAAATCCAGCTACAAAACACAGATCTCGCACGGTAATCCACATCTTCCAAATGTTGAGCACGCCGGAAGTGATAAGGATGGAGGCCTTCTTTCTTAAGAATTCTCCAGATTGTTATTCTTGGTACATTCAGTCTTATTGACAAGAGACGAATGCTTGTCATAGGGTCAGCGCGCACTAATCTTAACACTTCCTCTTCCATGTCCACGTGAAGTGCCACGCCAGGCTCATTTTGTCGTGGAAGTCCTTGCTCACAAAAACGACGATGCACAGCAATGAAGGACCGGTACCCAAGTACTGGCCTACCTGGATAACGACGTTTGTACTCTTCGACAGCAGAACGTGCATTCCCATCACAAAAACCGTATACAAAATGCATATCAGCTACGTGAGAAGGCGGTAAATCACGCAATCGTAGCATTACGATGCTTGAAACGCACAGGAATGGTCCTCGAAAAGATAAATAGCGCACAAATTAAAAAACACGTAACGTCCCGGGATCAGTAATCGAGCGACTGAATGATGCACAAACAACCAACCGAGAAGAGTGCGCACGTGCGTTATCTAGCGGTCTCTAAGAACCGGTTTCTACCTGGATGACCTTTTTTTTGCTTGATATGGAGCAAATTTTTGACACGCTGTTATTAAAAAATTTTAAGAGATAGATATTGATAGTGTATTGTAAATGTGTAGTAGTTATGCTCTAGATTATTAATAATGAGTAAAAAGCCCATGTTAAGGGGGGCATTTTATGTACTTACACGTGTTTTTGTAAATAAATATCACTTTTTTGCTTAGAAAAAATGTCTTTGTCTACGTTTATTTTTATGATTCGCCTTATTTTAACTAAAAATGTTACGTAATCCAACAAAACAACTTATTAACCTGATGAAATAAGAAAACAGAATCGAAATCGTGCCCGTAGCATTGGAGCTAGAGCAAAAAGTGTGGAACAAGGTGACCAACATCATTCAAAAAATTAAAAATTCAATAACTTAAAAAGTATTTAAGATAGACCCCCCCTTTTTAGGTTTTTTACCGATAATTTTTCATGTACATGCAGAATATCCCGGGCGGTCACTTGCCGATGGGCGACATTGTATAAGTATATGTTATAGTGTATGTAGTATGTTAATTGTGTATGTAGTGTGTGTAGCTGTAATATTTTACAATAAATCGTAAATCGTAAGTGTAGACTTAATTACATGTGTCCATTGACTTATATATTACTAGCGTACAAACATTTTTCATAAAAGGTAGACACAAATATACATTAGAGCCCCTCTCTAAGGAGGGATTTTTTTAGCTATCACTACTTGGAGATTCAATAAAACTACAAATACCAAGTATCAGGTAGATCGGTTCATCCCCAACAAGCTCGCGGTCGACCTAGACTGCATCTTGGCGACTCAGACCGAATCTTCTCCCATTTCATAATTTGCCTTAGTTAGGCGCACATCTCAGCGGCTACTCGGCGCCCGCGCCCCCTTTTCCCCAAGGGGGGTCGCTTCCGATTCGGCAGAAATCGGAAGCGACACCCCTTCCATCCAGGCCAAAGTCACTCCTAGGTATGTTTAGTGGGTAGGCATTTAGGTTTTCATAGTGAGTCCCACATAACCACTACATATACACTAAGAGCATTCACCACCTCCCTCCCCCGCTTCCTGGAGGGTAGCTCTTTACTTTGCTTTTGGGCGCAAAAAAATCGGTTCATTAAGGGGAAATATAATGTCAAATGGCTTAGCAAGATCCTTCGTTATGCCGAAAATATTGCAGCATTAATTTTGAAATAAATATATGGTAAAGTTGAGGATTATAGTTAGTGATTATGTTAGACGAAAACACGATTTCGTAAAATTTTCTCGATAGAAAAAAAATCCAAAGTTACCTCCAAAATAAACAATAAACCGCTGTTATTCATAAAATACTTTAAATGGGCCTTTCTCTACTAACAGGAAAATCATGGTCCAAGCATGTTTTTTTTTATTTTGGCTATATTAATGCATAGTTCTATTTATCAAAACACATAATATATAACCTGTTATTTAAGGAGCCAAGCTGAATCAATATTTAGAATCATAATCATTTCATAAATTCGGTCTAAAAGCCACTAAAAACAGTCCTCTGTTATGTCCTAATTCTGGATCGAGTATGATTCGGTTCGGTTTTTATTAGTTGTATTTAAAATGTGAAATCTTATTACTCTATGAACATAAAGAATATTGAATGCATGTGAACAAATTTTAGAGAATTTTTTTGTACTAAAAACTAGTGTTTGAATTTTGTCCGATACATTTTTGAACAGTCCTCTGTCACAATTTGAATATCGCGCCACAAAAATATTAAACACTATTGTGGCTACATTTCGCGTCAAACGGAACATTAACAGTGTGAAGTTTGCTCGGTTGCCATCCTAAACAAGTCGCCGCCATTTTTCCCAGTGACAACTCCGCGTCTGTGTGGGAGCCACGTCTCTGTAGTGTTGAGTGAACATTCCTCTGGTAAGTCTATTTTACGGTATTTTATGTGTTTTAATTATATTTATTTTACAAAAAAAATTGCTCAGTGTGATAATTTATAGCTGTTTCTGTGTTATGAATTAATATTTAAACTTATACGTGGTATGACATTTTTTTACGTAAAAATAACAGTCCTCTGTGCAACAGTCCTCTGGAAATTTATAACACAGAGGACTGTTCAATGTGACAGAGGACTGTTTTATTTGACGTCCGTGTATTTTATTAATATTCTTTATAGTCTGCACTAACCTACTGCTTGCCGATAGCCTCTTTCTTTCTTACATTGGCCTGTCACGCTAATTCAGGTCTTTTGTTTTCTATTATGGATTTTGGAATATAAAATAATACGTACCTAGTAACTACCTGTTTTTAAACCCTTACGGTTTTTTTTTAATATTGAAAGTATGTTTTATTGTTTTAGTATTGCCGCAATGCCACCAAAGAAGAAACCTAAAACCAAAGAAGAAATAAAAGAGCAGAAACGAATTGCAGAAAGATTAAGATATCAACGGCTAAAGAATGACCCTGTAAAAAGAGACCAATTGAAGGAAAAAGAACGACGAAACTACCAAAGAAAGAAGGAAAAAGGTATAAGGAAGTCAGTTAAATATATGAGTCGACGTGAACACAAAGCTGTGACTAAAGAATGGAGAAAGCACTGTGCTACATATCGCGCAAAAAAAAGCTTTAAAAGAAATTACAAACAATTTTGTACGACATAATACGCCTGAATCCGAGGGTTCACCTTCTCCTCAAAGTTCTGTCGCTCCATCAATACTACCTATGACCACTCCACGAAGTGATGCAAGTAATGCGAGAAAGCGTAATGCTAGAAAGAAACGTGACAAAATTATAAAGGATAAAGACAAAAAGATCGAGTATTACAGAAAAAAATCTGAGAAGTATAGGAAGAGATTAGAACGTTTGGAAAAAGCTAAGACAAAGAAAAATGTAGACACACCTAACACTAAACTGACCGAAATGTGTGATTCGCCAGGAGCTCGCAGAGAAGTAGTCAAAAAGGCGCTATTCGGTGAAGTGTTGAATGCCCAGCTGAAAGAGAACTACGCTAATTTAAAAACCTGCAAAGAGAAACAAATATTCGGAAAAGTCGTGTCCGGTAAACTAATACACAAGTACAAGTTATGGCGAAGCAAAGATAGTTCCATATCTTATAAAACAATTCAGAAGTCAGCGCGTCAATCGGGTTTAGTACCCAAGCTTCGGACTCGCAAAGACAAAATTTCATCTGATTGCATAAACACTGTACGAACCTTCTACGAAAATGATGACAACAGCAGACTTGGCGCAGGAAAACGAGAATGCCTGACCAGAAAAGGGGTTAAAATACAGAAAAGATATCTATCGGATAGCATTGGAAATTTATACAAGAAGTTTCTAGCTGAACATCTTAAAATAAGCTACCCAACGTTTTGTCGTCTACGTCCTTTCTGGGTCATAACACCAAATGTAAACGAACGTAACACGTGCCTCTGCATTAAGCACGCGAACATCGATCTGAAACTGTCAGCATTGCACAGAAGAAGAATTTTGACTTACAATAGTCACACTGCACTGCTTGAAAAGACATGTTGTAATCGCTATGACGAGCTATGTTTGTCACGAACCTGTCAACGCTGTATTGACAAAAATCCTGACTACAGGGAGTTTGATGACAGCAAGCCTATTGAATTTAAACAATGGATATCTGAGAAACAAACTTACAACGACCCTAAGACCAAGAATGCTCGAACAGTTACCAAATACCTATAGAAAATGTTCACGGTTCGCCCTCGAGAACTAATAGAAGAGCTGCACGAGGATTTGGAAGCCTATTATCAACACGAGAGAAATATTACCCATCAATACAATGCTATCAAGAAATACAAACAAAACCTTACCGACGAAGACGCTATCATACATATGGATTTTTCAGAAAATTATTGTTCCAAATACGGTGAAGAAATACAAGCATTTCATTTTGGAGGGTCGAGACTTCAGCTAAGTCTTCATACTGTGGTAGTGTATACCAAAAAGTCTATCAAGTCTTATTGTACCGTTTCCAAAAATCTCACACATTCACCAGCTGCTATATGGGCACATTTGCGGCCAATCTTTAAAACTCTCCCACCTAACATAAAGAGCATCCACTTCGTCAGCGATGGACCCGTAACTCAATACAGAAACAAAACGATGTTTTACATCCTGGCATCAAGGCTTCAACAAGAGGTTTCAAATGTGAAGAAGTTTACCTGGAACTATTCAGAGAGTGGCCATGGCAAAGGGGCCCCTGATGGCATTGGAGCGACCTGCAAGAGAACCGCTGATGCCGTCGTCGCTACAGGAGGTGATATTGATAACTTGGAATCATTTGTAGAGGCCATTCAACGAAGATGTTCCGCAATTACCTTGTTCACAATCGACGATAAAGCCATCCAAGAATTGACAGACGGCCTTCAAAATGAAACAGTTAATTTAAAAAGCTTTAATGGCACTCTTAAAATACATCAAGTTAAGGCTGAAATATTAAGAAGTCCTCTGGAATCAGCTCCAAAGGCCGCTAAACTCATAATGAAAAGTTTAAGTTGCACTTGTGAAGACGAGTGCCAGCATTTCAATTTAGGAGTGTTAGAGTACAAAAACAAGACAAAACTTAACGTAGATGATATTTACACAGACTCTGAAAGTGAAAACATGGACAACTCACAGAATTCCACAATGGAAACCGAAGACGACGGTGCACTGGCTGGACCTAGTTCAATCAACCAACAGAATTACACCATCGGTGATTACGTCTTGGTTAAATTTCTAGTAAGAAATACTGAATATTGTTATGCTGCAGTAATCAATAAGATAGACACGGAAGAAGGCGAACTAACAGTAACCTTCTTAAAAATTTGTGATGACAAAGGACACACATTCAGAGTCGATGAAAATGATGTTTCTGATGTGCCCTTTGACCAAGTAATAAAGAAGTTGCCAAACCCAGATGTTGCCCTAAAAGGGAAACGAATATTTTATTATTTTAATATACCTGTACCTGTTTTTGAGAAATAAGTCTGCATTGATAAGTAAACAAGACTGATTCTTAGTACCTAAGCTTAATTTTGATTATAATTATTTTAATTTGTTACTTAGAGAGCTAAGCTCGCAATTTGTTCCTGATTTATCATCAATACTTATAAGTATTTAAATTCTGTATGTGATTTAGTATTAAATAAAGAAGAGAATTTATTTGATTACATTTAATAATTAATATTGTATTTTTCTTTAAACATTGACATAAACTGTTCTCTGGGTGGAAAAAACAGTCCTCTGGGTGGCAAAACAGTCCTTTGTCGCATTTTTTTACAAAATTGCCTATAATTCGAAAAATAAGGGAAAATTACAATGGTTTCTTGTTTATATGTACTTATATTATAACTATCTATCGACTTAACATATAATATTTTTAATTTTCTAGAAAAATAGGGTTGGGACAACTGTCAATAGACAAGTTTCCAGTTAGTAGAGAAAGGCCCAAATAAGATCATGAAACTTTGCATACTAACTGAACTAACTATAAAGCAGTGCTTATGTTATTTACTTTTTTTAAAATACCATTATTTTCACTGTAAAAAGAAATTACCTAAACAATCGGCGTCTTGAGCTTGATTCCTGTCGTTCCGTTAGTATCGCTTAGGCTTTTGAAGGGAGAAGTTGTGTCTGTGTGAATAAGTGTCTAACGACCTTTCTACTTACAGTATTAGTGATTACAAATATTTCGGTACATAGCATACGACGCGCGGGGAAGTGGGGGCGAAATTAGAATTTGAGCTGAATTACTCTAACCTCTTAACTACTGAGATATAATAGAACAAACAAGTAAATCGGAAAGTGAACACTAACTATGGAGAAAATAAAGCATGGAAAAACGTCACATATCATTATGGAAAGGATGTCATGTGTTTAAGGGGGACTCTCGGCCTGAAAAAGCTATAACTCGTATATAGTGAATTAAATTGAATACAATCTTTTATCAATTCGTAGATGGCCTATTATTATGTAACGTGCCTTCACTCTTATGATCTCATGAGTAGTAAATAAAACCACAAGTCGCGTGGCAAGAATTTGGGTTGAAAACTATAAATATCTAAAAGATATAGTCTCAACGTTCTAGGTTATAAAAGGAATGAAATATAGTGTAATTTTTATCACGTTACAAGGATAAACTAACAGTGCACTCCAAAATAAGATGCCACTGCAGCCTACATACCTACTACAAGCGTCTAACGCATCTGCTTTAACACCTTAGGGTCAGTTCACACCGAGACGTGCCGCGACGCGACGCGGCGCACATTTTTCAAGAAAGTGATAGACAATAAAACTTTATTTACTACACAAAAATATATACATTTTATTAAGATTGGTAAAAGCCCCGCGGCGTTGCGCTACATCGCGCTGCGCCTTTAACGGCCGGTCTCAATAACTTATCTATCTCTTACTGGAAGTTAAAATGGCTACCATTGGTATCTATAGTTACATTTTTCCGTTTCAATAATCAAAGATAGATAGAAATGTTTAACCATCACATTGATCTACCCTTCGGAGGACTTACCGACTACCTGAGTTAAGTGGGTTCATAGAAAAAAAACATCTGACTGTTTCAATAACGTATTGGCAGTTAACTGGCGATAGTTCAAATTACCAGATGTTAGAGTTTTGTCTATCGCCCAATTTTGAGAGTTAGCAAATATTTGTCGTGATTTTAAATAAATAAAACCTATTTAATATCTAAAAAATGGATTTGTTCAGTGATGAAAGTGATAATGAAATGTATGAGATAGGTGTTTTTGATTCCGGAGGTATTGTAGATACTGAAAATCGCCGACTTTATAATCGAATAAATTACAGAAGTGAATTTTCTGACTCTGAATTTACATATAGATTTAGATTAAATAAAACGTCCGTGGATGAGTTATTATTGAAAATAACACCATCCTTAAAAGTAATTTCTTCAAGGTGAGTAAAGAAACTTGTGAACAAAATTTGGTTACATTATATGTATCGTCGAAATATGCCACCCAACATAATATGAATGACAGTTATTGTGATTTTTTTTTACTTATATTGTCTTATGTCAATTGTCAAGTCAAGCAACGCCAAGCGCTGCGTTTTGTTGCTTCGTATCGTTTCTTCGTATTTTAAGATAAAAGTTTATCATTATTTGAAGAAAGCCTTAATTTAGAAATGTGTATAAAGGATAATTGTCAATATTGTATTAAAAATTAATAACAAAAATAATTAAAAACATTATACATTAATCATAATATTTTAAATACATCATTTATATTTTATTGTAGAACGCGACGCAATTCACTTCGAAGCAAAAACAAAACGCTTAGGAGGGACGCATTAACCAAAGTTATCATGAACTATCTGCCTTTTATCTCTAGTAAGCTTTCGAACATTACGATATTGAGACGACAGTAACAGATAGTTTAAACTTAACTGTTTACCTTGGTTAGCTATCTACTTATAACTGATTGTAGGGAATTGAGACCGGCCGTAAATGACTCACTCTTAATTTTCGCCGCGAGACGCATGTGATTCGTAGACAGTTAAAACACTTGTACCGTGCGGGATTCGCATCCGTGGCCTCACACTCCCACAAATAATCGCTTTGCCACTAAGCTTCCAAACTGTCACAGCTGCAGGCCCACAGTGAATTTTTACTGCGTTTTTAAGTCACAAAGGCAAAACAATTAGAGGCAGATACGCATATAGGGACCCATTTTATGTCACTTCTCATTCTCAGGAGTAATAACGCACCGGAACCCCATGGTTTAGCTGTACCCCATGTTTGAAGTTGGTTGCTGTTGTCCACAGGCTTAAGTAACCACTTATTTTCAGGTGGATTATAAAATTCTTACTCATTGTCAACCTAATATTATATAAAATGTATTCAGACAAATATATCGTAAACCGCAATATATATGGACTAGGATTGTTAAAGTTTTAAAAACATTTCGTAATATATACGGAAATACAAAAAAACCTGAACGTTAACTATACCACATCGGTAGCCATACAAAAATGCAGACGCAGGTACCGTCTGGTATCGACTGCATGCTTTAAAATTGCATTCAATTCTCACCATTATTGCATAATGGTGACATTAATTATAAATGTTTAATGTGTAGGACGGGGCTTTGACAAAATAACATTTCCAACACTGCAATACAAGAATATTTGATTTCACACCCTAATTAGTGAAACTTTTCGAAAAGCGGCATAATTCAAAATTATGCAATCAATGCCGGTCCGAAATACGTACATATGATATTACAACCAATACCAGTTCAACGATATCTTTCGAATAATTGGAAGTTCCCAATTACACGGTATATACACAGTAAACTAATTTCCACAAAGGGAACGCCACGGGATAGAGTGTCAAACACTCATCTCGCTGCAATATTATTTAATAAAAATTTATATTTTCATATGAATTAAGTAAAAAGACGTTATTTTGACGTTACAAACCGCCACTTCAATAATAATCAATTGTATAGATGTAAAGATTGAAAAAAAAACGATGGGGAAAGCCTATGTTTATCAACGAACTTTTATAGGCTGCAATAGTAATGAATAAAGAATGCACAAACCGACAATACCAATTTTTATTATTCAAACGACAAGTTCACAGAATAATTCCAAAATACAGGTCCGACAATGAAAAAACGAAAAAATCGCAGTTGCCAGTTATTTTATAGTCAGGCTTTTCATGGACTAGGTTTCGACAAGATAGCGCCGCCTTCATACATCTGACCGTATGGTTCAGCTGTAAGCGAATTATACCTAAATAGGGTAGTAATGTCTCCAAATCCTCATTTTATTTTGGGTAAAAATCATATTGGTGTATTCTTCATATTATCAAATGAAAAAGTGTCGAATGACAAATCAATCCTTCAGGTCCAGAGCTGTAGAGACGTCATGTCAAGGACCTGGACAAGAGAGACATTGCATCGCTACAATACCGACTTGGAAAATGTCTTCAATACATTCAGTCATAAAAGTAACGGGAATAAATGATTTGTTTATGGTTCCAGATTCAATTTTTTGTTTCTATTTTTGTTCTTAGATTAGTACAACCGTTTTCCACTTAGGCGCGGAGTTTGAGTTACATCTGTTACTTAGATTAAATACAGTGCTATTTTTAGTTATATCATCATCATCATCATTACAGCCCTTCACAAGTCCACTGCTGAACATAGGCCTCCCCCAAGGTATGCCACAAAGCACGGTCCTGAGCCACCTGCATGCATTGACTTCCTACATGTCTTACCAGGTCGTCAATCCATCTAGTGGGGGTATTCCCTACACTTTCCTACCGGTACGAGGCTGCTACTCGAGAATCTCTTTTTCCCCAACGGTTGTTGGTTCTTCGAGCTATATGGCCGGCCCATTGCCACTTCAGCTTACTAATCCGTTGGGCTATGTCGGTCACTCTGGTTCTATGGCGGATATCCTCATTTCTAAGTTTATCACGCAGAGAAACTCCGAGCATAGCCCTCTCCATAGCTCGCTGAGCGACTTTGAGCGTCCTCATACGGCCAGCAGTAAAAGACCACATCTCGGTTCCGTAGGTCATCACTGGCAACACGCACTGGTTGTACAACTTAGTTTTCAGGTTTTGAGGTATACCTGACGAGAAGATGTGTCGTAATTTCCCGAACGCTGCCCAGCCAAGTTGAATCCGTCGATTGACCTCTCGGTCGAAATTGGACTTACCTAGTGGGACTATTTGTCCCAGGTAAACGTACTCGTCAACAACTTCGAGCTTAATGCTCCCAACAACTACCGGCATAGGTGTGACATGGACATTAAACATGATCTTTTTTTTTTTTCAAAAAAGAATATTAACAATGCTATAAACATTACTAATACTCCCCTTAAGGGGAAATATAACCTCAAATGGCTTAGCAAGATCCTCCGTTATGCCGAAAGTATTGCAGCATTAATTTTGAAATAAATATATGGTAAAGTTGAGGATTAATGTTAGGTTTATGTTAGAC